GGCCTCCCGGCTTTTCCAGGAGTATGAATTCCAGACTCCACGCAGGCATGTTGCATTCACATCTTGGTGCACTGGGTTGAAGTCTGGTCCTTCTTTCCCTGTGGAGATATAAACAATACCCTCCCCTTGGGGGGCAATGCTCTTTTCACACTGCTGTTAAAGGCTCAAAGGCATTCTATTCAGGTTTAAGTATGCCTCAACCGGAAGGAGTTTAGTTCTAGCTATGGTTGGCAAACCTCGATGTCTTGATTAAATGCCTGGAAGCACCCAGACACCACAAGTGAGCCTTCTGCCGAAAGGCACTCAGCTGTGTTTGCTCCATGGACAGTGAAGCCTTACTCTGTCTTATGCAGAACCACGTTACTGTTCTTCTGCTGTCTGGCGCCACAGCTCTCCCTCTCTTGGAGTAAGGAGGTGGTTCAGTGTGCAAAACCCGTGCCACTCGTGGCTCTTCTTTCTTGGTAGTTTCTGAGATAGCTTGTTTTAAATATAGAGGATGGGCAAACAGACTGATCTCACATTAGAGTTCCATACACCCTTTTAGCATGATCCCACCCAGTCATTTGTGGGTGTTACAAAGACTATGGCTGGAGTGCCACGTCAAATAATTCACTGCACTACAGTTGATATAAATGGCCGGGTAAAGGGCATGGTTATCTGGGTTCTTCAACCTAAGGGTTCTGTTGATAGGGACTGTTGGGAGGATTATAGACTGGACTCAGGTATATGTTAGGACCATCCCATTTATCAATCTGAAAGACCCTACTGCTTACCATGACATTTGACTCATGCTGTTGTTGTTAGGTGTCATGGAGTTGGTTCTGGATCACAGTGACTCTGTGCAACAGGACCAGACACTGCCTGGTCCTGAGCCATCCTCACCAGGGTTCCCGTGGCTGAGCCTGTTGGTGCAGCCATGGTGTCAGTCCTGGTTGAGGCCCTTCTTTTCGGCGGCACTTAAAATGTATGAAATGAATAGGAGTTACCAATTGACCACTCAGGTTATAGCAATGTGTTGGACTCATTCTGGAGCATCAGTAGAATAACGTGAATTTCAATTTATTATTGATGTGATTGGTGAAACAGCCTCATTTGTCTTAGCTAAAAGTTTTTACAAATGTGTTCAGCCAGGTTGCTACACACAAACTTAATACAAAACTATAATATTGGAGACATCGGATAGTGTAAGTTATGACAAAACTGTAATAATTTATGAATTATGAAGGGGTCATGGGGGAGTGGGAGTGGGGAGGGAGGGGGAAAATGAGCAAATGATATTAAGGGTTGACGTGGAAGGCAGATGTTTTGAGATTGATGAGGGCAACAAATGTACATATGTGCTTGACACATGGATGTATGTATGGACTGTGATGGGAATTGTATGAACCCTCAATAAAATAATAAAAAAACTATAATATTGTATTCTATGCAAATAATATGTATGTACTATGTTCTTTTTTTGCAAACTGTGCAAGCCCCCAAACCTTAGTTTTCCATAAGTTCTACATATATTATATGCAATAAAACTAAGAATATGGGTACAGATAGGAACTGAAAATACAGGGAATCCAGGATGGATGAGCCCTATAGGACCAGTGGTGTGAGTGGCAAAACAGGGAGGGT